TTGAGATACTTGTGCTCCTTAGCATTAACCTTGCTTTCCCGACCGTGACGTAACCTCCACGAATGTCGCATGGAGTCTAGGAGCTTAGAGGGATTACATAAAACTGAGACTTCCTAATATGCATAGCATTTGGAAATTGAATTGGCTAGGGTAAAAGTCGAGCTGCAAAAAAACAATCCTCACTACGTGGCCTGAAGAACACAGAAGTTTATTTCTCTTTCAGCGGCTGCTCTCTTGCTGTGCCACATCCGCTCAGATCCCCTTATCATTGCCATGCCCACCAGCCTGGCTCCTGATGGCAAAGGGCTGCCCTCGGGCTGGAGGCGTTCACTCTGCCCACGGGCACACAGGAGACTGGAGGAGTGGTCCGGGGATCAAGGGGGTGGGGGGCAACACGGCCCAGTTCCTTCACCCTCGGCTATCTCTGAAGCTCCTGGCCGACTCTGTTTTGCGGAGCTTCCCCAGGGAATTAAGCTCTTGTCACCTGCTGAGGTGGCTGGCCTTTACTGGCTACCTTCTCTTCCTTTTGTCGCCTCCCCACTCACCTGCCAGTGCTCTTGCCCTCCCCCAAGCAAACAAAGCACACGTGCTCAGTCCTCTTCCTAGAACAGCAGACCCAGGGTCCTTCCGTCTTGTTGCTCTCCTTGCTCCCCTACCCCAAGCAGATCGTCCTGCCCCGCAGGGTCAAAGTGGTGTCACGGGCCTATCCATGCCCTGGATTCCAGAAAGGAGAGGAGAAAGGACATCCAGGGAAGCAATTTCTTCTAAGTGAGGGAGGTAGAAATTGCAGCTGTCCCTTCCTTTCACGTGTCCTTGCTGAGAACTTAGCTGCAAGGGAGGCTGGAAATGTGCCCAGCATGAAGCGTTAATATGCATGAAGGGAAATAATTGCAGCAGATGCTTTACAGGCTCTGCTGCAGGAATGGAATCTACCTGCCCATTTACCGGGCCCCAAAGTGAAGGCGTCCTGCTGCGTACCTTCCCTGCTCTGCTTTGCTGAATGCCCACAACACAAAATGAGCCCGTTACTGCCGTCGTTCTCAGACTGAGACTGTACTGACAAGTTCAGCATCTCACCTAAGTCACACATGAGCTTCAAGGGGCAAAGTTGCGCTCCAAACCGACGTCTGGCTCGTGGGTTTTTCTACTCTGTGGTTCTTCTGCTTTTTATCCCTAGCCGTGAATTATAATCTGGCTCAATATCCTTACTTTGAAGATAACAAAACTGGGGGACACAGAAGGGCAGAGACTCACCCCAAATCACTCAGAGAGCAAAAACCTAGGGGTTCTGGCCACCAGTTGGCTACTTCATCCATGAATCCTGCTCTGGGCTGATGACCTCCAAACAGCTCCTGCTGTGACTCAGACCAGTGCCTGTAGGGCTGCTGAGAAGAAGGATATGTATCCTTTGGATTCACTGAGTCCAGATCCCAGCCCTAAATCACAATAGCATCTAAATTTCTAAATAGAAAATCCACCAGTCAGGGTGGCAGTGATGGCCCGTTGTCTCTTGTTACCTGTATAGCATCTCCCGTACTTTGCCCACAGGCCTTGAACCAGCTCCCTGGCCTCTCCCAGAAAGCAAGGAGTGCTTATTCCCTTGGGCCTGGCTGTTCGCATGCAGGAGTTAGACAGTGGAGAGGGATGGGGCCATCAGGGTCCCCAGATCCTCCATGAAGTCATCCCCTTGCTGTCGTCAGTGTCAGTTGCCTAGCAACTGCCTTTGGCAGATGGTGGCACGGAGAGCATGCCAATCTCTCCCACAGCTAAAAATACATTCCGACGACAACGGGTCTATTTTAAAAGATACAATGCGCTCCCAATGTCTCCCTTGAATGTGAAGAACTGTGCTGTGCCGGGTCTCTCTGGGGTTCTGATTTCGTCTGACAGGGCGGAAGGGAGCATTCGAGGAAAGGAACCCAAAGCCAGGCACCACAGGGTGTGGAGAAAATCATTATGGAGGAGGAGGGAGGAGAGGAAGAAGAGGAGAGATAAGAATGAGCTGGGAAGTAAATATAGTCGGCAGCACATCCTCTTATTTGGCCATATTTTTTTTATCTCCATGGGAGGGTGGGGTTAGGAATCACAGAATGGCAGAAACCTAGAGCTGGAAGGGACCCAATCTCATTTCCCAGTTGGGAGAGCAGAGGCCCTGAGAGGATGAGATGAGAAGAGCTGGCACTTTGTCCTTGTTCAGGGTGCAAGGGCTAGGGTTCCAGACGTGGGCATGGCACCTTGGACCCTCTAACTCCTCCCACATCTCTATCAGCAAGTTGATCACATGACACCTCACCAGCTTAGCTCTCTGTCAACCACCATGATGGTACAAAGGAAGTAGAGATTCTACTCGTGCATGCATTTAGCCATTCATTTATTCAAGAAATATTTACTAGGCACCTACTGCCACACCGCCAAGCTTTGAAGATACAGCAGGGGATAATTACATATGGCCCCCACCTCCTGTTGCTTGTGGTCCAACAGGTGAGACGGGCACTAAACAGGTAAGCACAGGGTGCCCCATGCTACACACATTGAAGCCAGATCTGGTCGAAGCCTACTAGTGAGCTCTGCAACCAAAGGATATTAGTAGGGCCGCAAGATAAAATACAGGAGGCCCAGTTAAATTTGCATGTCAGATGGACTACAATGTTTTCAAAATTATAAGTATGACCCCAACATTGCCTTATCTCAGGTTCAAGTTTAACTGGACCTCCGATTTTTTTATTTGTTAAATCTGGCAACCTCACACTTAATATCATGATTGTTTGGTTTCCTCATCTATAAAATGGGGAAAGTAGTATCTACTCATAGGGGTTGTTGTGTGGATTAAACGAGAAAACTTGTATATTAATGACTGGCAGATAAATATTCTTCCTTCTTCTCTCTCATAAGACTTACCTGGGATTTTGCCCTGCCCAGCGTGTTAGTCGTCCTCCCCCCAGGGTCTGGGTGAGGATAACCCTGCGAGGCCCAAAGGCTCAGTTGGGGGATGAGGGAAATCTGCAGGTTGACAACTGGGTTGCCAAAGGAACTAGGAATCAAACCAACTTTGCTTGGAGTGCTGGTCAGGGTCAACAGTTCTCCATTGCCTGGGGTGCTTGTTAAAAATATAGATGTCAGGGCTCTCTGCAAGATTTAATGAATCAGAATGTCTAGGGAAGAATGTGCCTTTTCAACAAAATCCCCAGAAACCCCCTGGACTCAAGAGTTTGAGAACCCCTGGCTTGGCACGTGGAGACGGACTGCTGTCCATGCTGAGACGCAGTCACCAAAGCCTGCACAGACATATGGGATCCTGGCAATCCTGGGTCCTGGAACTGAAAAGGGACATTAGTGGGAAACTGTGTGAAATCTGAAGAAACATTAGTAGTTTAGTTAATGGGTATTGTACCCATGTTAATTTCTTGGTTTTGATCACTGTACCATAGTAACATAAGATGTTAACATGAGGGAAAACTCAGTGAAGGGTATATGGGAACTCTCTGTACTGTCATCACAACTCTTGTGTAAATCTCAAATTCTTTCTTTTTTTTTTTTTTTTTAACGTTTTTATTTATTTTTGAGACAGAGACAGAGCATGAACGGGGGAGGGACAGAGAGAGATGGAGACACAGAATCGGAAGCAGGCTCCAGGCTCTGAGCCATCAGCCCAGAGCCCGAAGCGGGGCTCGAACTCACGGACCGCAAGATCATGACCTGAGCCGAAGTCGGACGCTCAACCGACTGAGTCACCCAGGCGCCCCTCCAATTATTTCTAAATAAAAAATTTTTTTAAAAAAAGCTTATTTTGACTCAAAGCCTGCCTTGCACCTTTCTTCAGCACAAAGGTGCATCAGAAGGCCCAGCCCACAGGCTGGCTGGACTCTAAACCAGCATTAGTTAAGCAAATGCTGGTAGCTGAGAGCCTCCCCATCCCCCACCCAAAACACCAGGTTCTGGGGAAGCATTGCTTCTCTTTCCTGCCACTCACACTGGGGCTTAAATGTCAACCTCAATGAATTACATTTTAATCTATGTTATCAACCTGGCCAAGGCCCTAATTGGATGCCAGGCACACCCGCTGAAGGGCATGCATAATTCATTAACTGGGAGGCCACTAAAGCCTTTCATCATGGGCCAGGAAAGGAGGAGGGAGAGAAGGAGAAGAGGAGAAAGAGGGAGAGAGGGGCAGGGAGGGGTATGAGTTGGAAAAGGAGGGCAAGCGGGTGGGTTGGAGGGGAGATGAGAGAAGGGACCTGGGATAATCTTCCCAGACTTTAAGTTTAAAACCTCAGTGGGCACTCTCTAAGCCTCTGCCCCAGGGCCACCTCCTCCAGAAAGCCTTCATTCTTTACCCACCCACTCCCAACCCCCTGTAGCAAGCTCAGGCCCTCCTTCTCTTACTCTCCCACAGCACAGGATGTACCTCTGGCATGCACGACTAATCACAAGGTCCTATAATGTTTATTTAAACATGTGCCTCCCCCTGGACCTTGAATCCGCTCCTTTCGGGGTAATGTTTCACTCGATGACAGATCACTCCTGCCTGGCAGACTCTGCACACAGTAAGGGTCTGTCAAATGACTGATTTTCACTCAAATTTCTAGCTCGGGCCAAACAAAGAAATGATCTTAGCGAGCGAACATGTCCACTGGAGCTCCCCAGCTGTGCTACCAAACTTGCTCCTGTTCCTCAAAGCCACCATCCATTCTGCCCAACCCCTGTCATCTGTCATCCTCTCCCAAAGCCAAGAACCAGAGAGGGAAGCAAACACAGCGATAGTAGAACCGAAAGGGGGAGTCCCCATTTGTTTGGGCATGCCTCATGCTACACAGCTAAGCACGGAACACCCCCACCTTCCTCAGTCCTGTCCACGTGAGCTCCTGCTCCACTCAAATGGCCTTGTCCAGGTTGCTAACCAAATCCATGTGGTCAAAGCCAACAGGCACTTCTCTGCCTTCACCTTGACTGACCTGTAGCAGCACTGAGCTCCCCCACTTCCTTGATGCATGACCTTCTCTTGATTCCTGATACCACACCCTTCTGTTTTTCCTCCTTCCACGTTAGCCACTTGGTGTCCACTTGCTTTGCTGAATCCCCGCATTTGTCTGACCACTGAATGGTGGGAATCCCCAAGGCTCACTCCTCAGACCTCTGCTCTTCTCTGACTACTGTTTCTACTTAACATTATTCCGTTCCGTGGCTTTAAATGCCATCAAACACTAATGGTTCCTAAACAAACACATCCATCCTTGACCTTCCCCTTAAGCTTCAAGCATAAATATCCACTTTGGTGTCTATAGCTATGTATTGCTGCGTAACAAACTACCCCCAAATGTAACTGTTTGAAAAAATAAACGTGTTATCTCAAGTTTCTGTGAGTCAGGAATCTGGATGCCACTTACCTGGGTGCTTCTGGCTGATGTTCTGAAGCTGCCAGTGGGGGCTGCAGTCTCATCAGAAGGTGTGATGCGGGAGGTTCTGCTTCCAAGTTCACTCACATGGCTGTTCCATGGGAGTCTCTCCATAAACTCACAACATGGCAGCTGCCTTGTTTCAGAGAAAGTGAGCAAGAGGAGAAGGAGTACCCAAGACAGAAGCCAGGGTCTTTTTGTAACCTGATCTCAGGGGTGACATTCCATCCTCTTTGCCCAATTCTGTTTGTTGGAAGTGAGTCACTAAATCCAGCCCACCCCAAGGGGAGAAGATCACACAGGGCATGAAGAGCAGGATCACTGATGGCCATCTTAAATAGGCATCTCTAATTAAACGTGCCCATGAAAGAACTCCTAACATTTCCCACCCCAAACTTGCTCCTCTCCGTATTTTCTCTATCTTAGTAACTAGTGCACTAGCATCGGAATGGAGTGTACTATCAATTTGGATAAGCTGGAACTACATCTCCCAGAATCTCCTTAGTGCATGGTTCTGGGATAGAGTTGGCCAAAGAGGGAACCGGCACAGGATTTGGAGGAAGGAAGTGAAGCATCAGTCATTATTATTGAAAGATCGTGTAAGTCACATATACTGCTGAGCAGACAGAGGTACCTGGAGACTTGCAGTTTGTCCATATCTCCTCTGCTTTGTGTCCAGCTTATCTTCCTAACTGCTGGCCAACAACTGACCAATAGCTACTCCAGGCCCACGTCTAGATGTGTGGCTGTGGCCCCAGGGAGGTGGTAGATTCCCAGAGGCAACAGCACCCCAGAGCCCTCTCCATGAGTCTCCTCATGGCCTCATCTTGCTAGCTGGATATGCTTGAGTTCTTGGATGTCCCACTGCTCCAATGTATTCACCTACACAGGGGCTTCAGGACTGTTGTTGGCTCTTTCTCTGACCCTTCAATTCACCCTTCCCCTTCCAAACTTCACTGCCCCAGGATCTCCCATTATAAGACAATGAATTCTTATAATGAATGCTTTATCCCATACTGCTGTCTCCTTTTGCTCTCAGTTGAAGTGTCACCTCCTCAGACAGGCCTTTCCTAAATTCACCACCCTGTCCATGTTCTAATTTCTCAGACCATCAGATTCTGAATGAGATCATTATTAGCCAACCTTACCACTTTACTATGTCTCATCTGCACAATATTGTGTAATTGTGCTGCCATGGATACTCCCGCAAAAAGGGCATATTTATACCTACTTTTTTGATGGGGAAATGAAAGCACAAAGAGGTGATGTGATCTTCCCGTGATCCCACAGAGTAAGCTATGAAACAGATGGTAAAAGGGGGATCAGAACCCAGTGCTGCCTGACTTCTACTCCATTCTCTTCATCACATATAACACCTCCCTGTGCCTGAAGCTGGCATTGGGAGAGCTTCTCTACATCTGGCTCAGTGTCTTTATCACTAGTACCTCACACTGGTTGTGAGCACTGAGCGTTTACTCAGTACTGTGACGTGCCTGCCCCAACAGATCTCAAGAGCCATCTCCCCTGGGGAGGATCTGGAGTAGAATTGAGGATGCTCAGGATTCTTTTGAGCCGAGGATCCACGTGTCCTCTCCAAGACTAGGTGGCAGATTTCATTCTGGACCCTGAGCAGTGCCCTGCCGGGGCCTCTTTCTACCCCACTCCTCTCTCAGCTCACAGTCTCCGGTGGGCTGGTGGCCCATCTCTCAACCCCACACAAAATCAACAACACAAGGCACCAGGCCACAGACCAAACCTGCAGCTGGGCCGTGTTTATCACAGAGGCCAGGCGACTCCCAGGCAGCAGGCCTCCCCTCTTAATGGCCCTCACCCGCTTGCAGGCAACTATATCTTGTGTTCGCCCACAGTAGGGCTGGGCTGCGTCAGGCCTTCAAGGAGCGTCATTTGGAACTCTTCTGAGGTTTATGCAACTCAGAAGCTATGCAGTCGGAGAAACAGACTTGTAATCCAGCAAGTCAAAGGACCACAGAGAAGCCAGTGTCACTATGATTAGTTTCATCTCCAGCGCCTGCTGGGTAAAGCCCAACATCCTCGCCTACTGTCAGAGCTCTCTGAGGTCTGTCTTCAGCCAGGACTCACTGTACAAATGCTCTGATCCTCCCTCTCCCTGGAAGACATGGGCCCTTTTGCCCCTTTGACTCAGCTCAGAGCACTGTCCCCCTTCCTGGTGACCTCTCCTTACCCCTTTACTGCCTCATACCTTTGCCCAGAGGTACAGGTCAAAAACAACCATTAACCACATAATGGTTAAGCAACATTTGTGCATTATCTTCTTTTTTTTTTAATTTTTTAATGTTTATTTTTGAGACAGAGAGAGAGCACAAGCAGGGGAGGGGCAGAGAGAGGGGGAGATACGGAATCTGAAGCAGGCTCCAGGCTCCGATTTGTCAGTACACAGCCCAATGGCAGAGCTCGAACTCATGAACCGTGAGATCATGACCTGAACTGAAGTTGGACACTTAACCAACTGAGCCACCCAGGTGCCCCATGAATTATCTTCTTTTAAGATTTAGAAAAATCACTACTTTTTAATCAATTTATACTTTCCAAAAATGTTTTCCCATCTGCTGTTGATCGATCAAAAGATATTAGGTGGGCTGAACATAAAGCAGCTCCACTGTAGAGTTGTGGAAATAACCATACCTGGCAAATTTTGAGCTCTTCCTTTTTGCCTAGAGGTGTGCCAAATGCTTTCTGTGAGTTGAATACACTGACTTCTTTCAAAAGTCCTGGGAGGTAGCTATTGCTATTATCCTCATTCTCCGGAAGAGAAAACTGAGGCTCAGAGATATTTTAAAACACCCCTATTCATTGCCCCTCAACATATTAAGTAGCAAAGCCAGAATTTGAACCCTGGTCACCAACTCCAGTCAATTGCTCAGTCACACCCAGTCACAAAGGAAGACCCAGGGAGGTGAAGAGACTCATCCTGCTCTTTCATACAAATACTTCTTAAATTTTAATATGCATGGAAATCACCTGGGGGTCTAGCTAAAATGTATTAAAATGAAGATTTTGATTCTGTAGGTCTGGGAAGGGCCCAAGATTCTGCATCTCTAACAAGCCCCCAAGCAATGCTAACACTGAGTGTGGTGAGGTTCTATACCACGCTGCATCTGGAAAGTACCTGCCACCCACTCACTGACGTCAGATCCTCCTGGGTAGGTAAGTTCTTGTATTGAGCACAGACCACCCTTGCCATTGCAAGTAACTGAAAACCCAATTCAAACATTGGTTTAAGACAAAAAAGGAATTTATTGGTTAATGTAGCTGGAAGTCCTGGCTTCAGGCAAGGCTGTATCTAGATGCTTTGATGATGTATGAGGACCTGGTTTTTCAAAACTGCTCAGTTTGCACTTCGTGTTGGCTTCATTCCCAGGCTCTACATAGTGATACGAAGGCTGCCACAGGAATGAAGACACGGTGGGATGGTCCTGACAAGCTGGAACTTTCTCCTACATGGCAGGCTCCAAGTGTCTCATCACCCCACGCCCGACCTGGGTGTCCTTAAAGTCTGAGCGGGCTCGTGATGCCAATGCCACCAGGCGGATTTGCTAAGGAGCGAATAGAGATGAAGTGACCACACCCTGATGTGTTGTAGTACATTTTCAAATTCCCTGGGTTATTCTATTCTTCCTTAACTGTGGCAATTTGGTCCCAATTCTTCATTCCCCTGCAGCAATGTTATATATCTACATCTTTGCCATAGCTCCATAGTGGGTGGGGTGAAACCTGCAGAGGCTGGAAACCTGCTTGCCCAGTTTGGCTTACTGTCTTGTGCCACGGTGGCCATGGAGTAGAGCACACATCCTGAGCATGTCCCCAGTGGCTGCTGGCCTATGGAAGACGAGACATGTGGAATGAGTCTGTACCCAATCTGCAGCCTAGAGCCTAGGGCCCAGCCTAGCCCAGCCTGAGAGGCAGCTGATCTGCAAGACTGTGAGCAAGAGAATAAATGATTGCTGTGTCAAGTCACTGAGACTGAGTTGGGGTTGTTTTGTCACACAGCATCACGGTGGCAGTAGCTAATACACCAGCTTAATAATTCACCCTCAAAAATGGGACAATAAATTCTTTTCCTTTTGAGCTCCCCAAGCAGTACCTCGTGTCCACTCAGGTAGAAAAACAACAAGGCTCCTCCATTCTAATTTCTCAATATGACAGATCAGGAAACTGAAGCTCAGAGAAACAAGAGCTTTGTTTAAGATCACACTGAGTAGGTAGGCCAGCAGGCAGAAGTAGAATAGCCTGCTGACTTCTGAGCCAGTGTCTTTCCCCTATCCCCTCCGCCCCTCTTATTTCTTTATTCAGAGCCTCGGAAAACATTCTTGTGACCTGCACTGTCCTGACAAGCATGACCTCAAGACTCAGAGGTCCCACGTGACTCTGGCCTTGCATCAGGGAATGACTTTTGAAGGCCCATGCACTCAAGGCCCTCTGTGGATGTCCAAGCTCTGCTTTCCAGCCACAGCCTGCAGGACCACAGAGGTAGGTTATGTTCAAGGTCTGGGTACAATCTCAGATCTCAGTGACACAAGCAGGTCCACCTGCCCATGGGGTCTCAGGGCCTGTGGCTGGAGGGTTTCACACAGACCACATGAGAGAAGTCATAGCCAGGAACAGGGCTCACATGTGCTGTACTGAGGAGGAGAGTGGGTCAGAGTGGACATTGGAAAGGAGCAGAGAGGGGCCCATCTTCTCCTGAGGACCACCTGGGATCAACCCCAATGCAAGGCCAAGTCCAACCATAAGGCGCTTCCTACTTTCAGAGAAAATGGTTCTCCAGCAGCCTTGCTGAGAGAAGTGGGCGCTTGGCTCACAGGCCTGGTTGGCAGGGATGCAGCGCAGATGGGCTGCTGACAGCATCCCCCTCTTGCCCCCTCCTCAGACAACTCCAAAGGGGGAGTGAGCCGCAGGCCTGCCCGCACCATCTCCTTCCACACCACATTCACACAATCTGGTAGCATCTCTCACGTGAACCCCACCCCCACTGATCTCTCCCGACCACGCTGGCCCTGCAGGTCCCCAGCCCCAACTAGCCTCAGTTACCACCTCAAAATCAGGGCTGGGACTAGGGTGAGGTGGGCGAGGCACAAAATTTAGGTAGGTGCCAAA